CCCCCGCCTACCCCTTGCATCATCCCCCCCTGCTTTATAATTACTGCTACTCTCCTCTGTCTGTCAAACAAGAGTGAAGGAGAAGAGATCTTCCATCAACAGCACCAGGAAAATGGCCGCCAAGAAACAACTTGCACCAGTTTTTTGGGGCAGCTTAACTGCCACAGAAAACCTTTATATATACAAACAGGTTACTGGGGTGAAAGAGAGACTTCTGATTACAATCATTTCCCACTGAGACCAGAATGATAAATCTCCACACCGGGGGCGGGCTTAGTCCATTCTATACATGTAAAGCGGAGGATGCGGTCACAAGTTCTCTCAAACACTGATTGGTTCACGGACAACATTCTGTCTCTTCACCACGTAGATCTTCTGTCCGGAGATGGTGACGCAGTACGAGTGCTCGCCGAACACAACTGTGCGGGGGAAGGGAGGGAGAGAACAAGGACGGGGTGTTATCATCATATCATACTAAAGGTAACCCCCGGCCCCAGTTATCAGCACGCGCATACTCACTGCTCATGCGTTTAAATGGTATCTGGTCCCCCAGACAGCGGAAGCTGCAAGCCGCGGTCACCATCTCCCGGATCACACCCGCCAAATTCTCATCGTTCTCCAGGTCGCCGGAACTCTGCAGGGAGAGGAGAGGTCACCCCCAAATTATATAGGGATACACCGATACGAGTCTCAGTGCCGATACCGAGTCTTGGGGCGAGTACTCACCCAAATACTCCGATACTTATCCCGATAATTGAACTACTGGTCAAAGGGAGATCATCTGGCCGGCAGTGTCACCGGGGAACTACGGAGCCGGCCAATCAGGAAGCTGGGCCTCGGGGAAGTTGGCTCCATGCGGATTGGCGGGGAAGCCATTTTCCCCAGCCAATCAAGATGGAGCTGGCCAAACAGAAGGGAGCCAGCTTCCCGGCCAATCATGAAGCTGGGCCACCGGTAATGACCCGCCTCCCTGACTGGCAGGGAAGCTGGCTCCATGCCGATTGGCTGGAAATCCGACTTCCTGGCCAAACAGCATGAAGACGGCTTCCTGGCCAATCGAGAAGCCAGGCAGCGGGTAATGACACGCAGCCCAGCTTCCTGATTGCCCGGGAAGCCGGCTCCATGCTACCGATGTCAGTACACGGTATCGGCGAGTACGGAAATATCAAATGTCGGTACTCGTGATTGATAACGAAATACCATTATCAGAGTATCCCTAATATTATATATACACCCCATATTCTCCCCAATATATGACATTCTAGGCAGCTTTACGGCAAGAGACGCGCCAGCCAGGGGCGACCCCATAATAAGGCAGGAGGATCCTCACCGGGGGAGGGGTAGAAGCATGAATAACTAGCTTTCTCGAAGGCGTTTCGCTGGTCATCCAACCAGCTTTCTCAATTCTGAATGGACAAAGCTGGTCAGATGACCACTGAAATGCCTTCGAGAAAAATACAGCAGGTCCAGTTGCCTCGATTTATTTCCATACTCCGAGGTTCCTGCACTTCTAACCTGCAACACCGCGCTTTTTTGTTACAGTCTATGTGCCATCTGGAGAGATTTCTCATTACTTCCTGTCCTAACAGGGAGTGAGAGAAAATCTTTCCAACAAAGACATACACTGCACCCCCCTCCCCCCATCCCATCCAAAACGTAACACACTTACTGCTAACACGCCGTCCTCGCTCATCACCAAGTACCCCAACTGATCCGGAATCCGCTCCAGACCCTGCGTGAGTGTGGAGGTCTGAGGGAGGAGAGAAATCAGATTACAGAATAAATACGTGGAATTATCCCATTTTCGGTCACTGACGCATTCCGCAGCCTGTTACAGGGACCGAAGACTGCCGAGTGGTAGTTGTGCGGTGTCAAGCAGCATTGTAAATGGAACTCCAGTGCCGGGCCGCGCGCCACCAGGAGAGAAGAAACAGACAGCGAACGTTGTAGTTTTTTTTTAGCACACTGGCTATCAGTGAAGGGCCCTGGTACACTGCTGGTCAGGGAAGGCCTGGGGGCCAGTGAAGGGCCCTAGCACCCCGGGGGCCAGCAGGGAAAAAAGCATACAAACAATATCCCATAACATGCACATGAAAGGGCAGCTATGGC